TTCACCGGCCAGAAAAAGCCACTCCATAGCTGTGTGGTGTTGGCGAGGCTGAATACAGAATAGTGGCGGTCTTCAGCTTTGCAAGCTGTTGAATGGTGCAATCCCAGCACAAGTTGCTATGGCTTCTGCTGTAGCATCGCTATCATCGCCTCCAGCGATGGGCGTCAAAAGATCAAAGGTGGGTGCGTGCGTTGGGGGAGGGGGTGTACATGTAGGTTGCCGCCTGCCCGTCTTGTAGCTGATTGTAATACTGTAATTAGATTCCGCCACTGGGATAACATGGTAACATGTCAGTCACAAGTACTGTACAGTCATATACATGTCAGACTTCGCTATAACGACCCTCGCTATAACATGATAGACCTGATTATAACGTACGAAATCAGCACACGAAGCACAGAATTAGAAGCCATAATAATATTATTGTTTCGATTAGTACCTTGTAAATCACCATTGTATTTGACTTGAAAAGTAATGGTACGAAAGGCCTAGTCGAAACAGTTTCGAACTATTATGACTTCTGTGCTTCGTGTGCTGATTTACTTTCCTCCAGCCAAGAATCTAAGTATAGGTCCGACATGCAAATATCCCTGTGCCAAAACCGCATCTCTCCCGTACCAAATTTCCTCACTATAACATACATGTATTCGCTATAGCGTAATTTTCGCTATAACACATTGTTCAGCAGTGTTAGCTTGGTCCCACGCACACGGAGACCTCAGTATAACACAAAAAAGTAGCACAGTCGAGCGTCTTTCCGGCCCTAATCACTTTCATTTCTTGAAATTTCTGCTCACGGCTGCATACAATTGCTTGCAATCAACGCCCATACTGGCATTCATGCATTTTTTTGTACTTTCCCAACACTGCAGTCGCATGGACTTGGTCATGCACTTTGAAGTAGTGTTTTCAACGCATGCAGTAGACACCCTACAATGTAGAACATACATGTACATGTACACACACTTCCTGCATGAGTCGATCAGAGTTTATCATTAGCGCTAGTTGCAAATCAGTAAGCAAAGAGCGCCATTTTGACATACATGTACATGTACATACTCCTTGTACACGTTGCATATTGGTGTGCCCAACTCATTATACATGTATAACCATTGAGATTACGTTATAGCGAAGTCTGACCTGTACATCACTTTCGGACGTGACTCTACTGAATTACTGGATCTAATTTTTATCCTGGCACTGTACATGGTCCATACTACACATGTAGTACTGGTCAAGACTACACTCATGCAAGATGCTTTACAAAAGAGCAGCACGAGTGGTGCCATGATTGATACCATGCCCAAACCCAAGGCGTCAGGACTACTAGTAAATAATAGCATGGAAGACTTGCATGGAACCTGTACACGTAAGCGTAACAAGTCATGTACAGTGGCATAGGACTGACAAAGGCAGAAGAGAAAAGAGACAACACCGGCTAGATCATTGTTGTAACGCTGCGTTTCATGCACATGACGTAGTACTACACTGTAGTAGGCTAAGGCCTCCGACAACTGATAATCTGTACTTCTGACATGTCACAAGACTGTAGGCACGGAGATGACCAATCGCATTGCACCTAGCAGGGCCTAGATGAGGCCATCAAAGCATGCTACAAGAAGTAGAACTCCATATTTAGTGGAGCGGGCTTTGATTTTCCCATCAAAGCCCGCCCAGGCGGGCTTTGATTTTACGATCAAAGCCCGCTCCACTAGGGCTTTGATTCACTGATCAAGCTCGCTTTTTTTTTACTTGACTCCGGCTCGAGAAGGTTGACAGTCGTGCTTTCAAGCGCGATAGGAAGATCGAAGTGCGTGTTCTGGTCAGAAATCCAATCAAAACAGTCGTGTTCACGTTCTATCAGCCAATCACAGCCCTTCGCGAAGTATTTACAAGTCCGATATGAGTTTCAAGCGCGGGTGCATGTCAGAAATGCAATCAAAACACTCGTACTCATGTTCGATCAGCCTACATCACAGCCCTTCGCGCTTCGCGCGGCGGGCTGTGATTAGGCGATCTCACACTCGTACTCTTGCTTGATTCCATACATCATCTGTACATCATCTGTACATCATCTGTACATCATCTGTACATCATCTGTACATCATCTGTACATCATCTGTACATCATCTGTACATCATCTGTACATCATCTGTACATCATTTGTACATCATCTGTACATCATCTGAATGTCACTCAAACTGTCAAAGCTTTACATGTACCGGTACATGTATTCGGGAAAACCACAAATTGTGATACAAAAACCAAGCGGAATACCAAAATCCAGTATAAGAACCGATAAACCTAGCCAATAAGCTAATATTAAAGGTCACTTGCCAACCCACAACAAGATGCAGCTTATTATTAGATGCAGCGTGCTACTAAAGCCGACCAGACTTTTATTTTTACAAAGAACACAAACCCGGCTCGAGACAAAAAAATAATAACAAGAAAGATAAGCAAAGTAATTATTTGCATGCAGGGAGAAAGAAGAAACGACTAGAACACAGATTCACAGAAGTTGAGGGTTGACAGAAGAAACAATTATTATTGAGTCGGCCGACTACTAGTATCCACTAGCGCATGCAGCTGTGTACATGGGGCTAGTTGTGGACTCCTCCGACCAAAGGTTTCGCCTACAAACCATTTTAGGCGGCACTGGTCTAAGAAGGTGGAACGTGATCCGCGGCGCAGGTAAGATGCCCGGCACTGGGCCGGCAGCCACGAAAACACGTGATCTAGTACTATACTAGCGAATCGCCAAAGCATCATAGAACTCAAATTCAAAACCAGTGCTTGCTGAAGGCTCAGCTGTCAGTGTCAGCAGACTCAGCAGGGCGCGAACTGGGCTTTCCGGGTTCGTACTACATGTATACGGTGCCCAGACGAGCCTCTCTCGACATCGTTTGCATGTAAATGTGCATGATTGTACTAGTACTTAAGTCTTTATACAACGTACATGTAGCTGCAACAATAACATAATTCTAATGCAAGTAGAGTGTAGTGCCCTGTGGCTAGTAGTGGGGCAGCTTGTTTTAATCGCATGTAGATGTACTTGTACTAGTTGTAGCAGGCCCTGTGTAGACTCTCTACACATGAGTCTGACACCTGAGTGGTACGTAATGTACGTAGTGTACGTACGTAGTGGTAACTGTGTTGTTGGGAAGCAATCCTCGCCAGACCTCAGTTTGAACTGTTTTATTTCGTTTGTGCATTACCGGTACATGACTGTAATGACGTGCCAGGCCACCACCATGGTAGATCTACCACGGCACCATGGTAGATCTACCACGGCACCATGGTAGATCTACCATGCACCAGGGGCCCGCAGGGGGTAGATCTACGGCCGGACGGACGGTAACATCGGTGGCAGATGCAGCTATAAAATAGCTGTACGGTGTGTTCGTCGTTTGGATCTAACAAGAAACTCATGACCACTCTTGATCCATTACAGGCAAGGTTTGCTAGAGCTCTACTGAAAAATAAAAAAATTGCATTTGATTACACTTCTACCAAATCTGTCCTAAATTCTAAATGCTCCCTAGAGTCACTAGCCTATCGTCGTCAAATCATCAGTCTCACTACTTTTCACAGATATGTTTTCCATCATCGTGATTACCTTGCTGATTTCCATTTCAAGATTACGAATAGTGAGCGACGACCAAATAAAATCATTCTTCCCAAATTTAAATCATTGTCTAAGTCTCTCTTCATGTTCCGAACTGCTATTCTATGGATCTGTTTACCCCCCAGTCTAACATCGGAAGCCTCGCTCTATAAGTTCAAAGCTGCCCTCAGGAAATTTACAGCTGACCATGCTTATGCAATCAACGGAATTCCGCCACCTTGCAGTTGATTTTCCCCATTTCTCTCCTCATCAATCCCTACTTGTCTTTGTACATACATCTACATCTACTGTTCTTTCAATCAAATGAACCCCTCGATAGGCACATTGCCTTTGGGTCATTTCATAATAATAGTAATACTTCGAAGTAATAATAATAAAGCGTCTAGCACAGTCGCCGCCAGGGGGGGGGGGGGGGGGGGGGAGGGAGGTGGTAAGCATGGTAAGGCGGTCACAAACGCAGCGCATAACTAAAACCCTGATTGAATCCAGGATCGATTTCTAGCCCGACCTCAACTCAAGTCAAGAGGTACTTCGAAGTACTAGTATCCTGCCTCCCGCCTCCCGGACATTGATGTGCCGTGATGTACTGATGTAGTTCGTCGATTTGTCGTCTTTTACACTCTTTTTACAACATTTTTTACATGTCTGCCTGTATGCATAATTATAATAATTATGTGTAGCCTCTACTGTCAGTACTGAGTAGCTAACCCCTTACTTAATACTATACTACTACTACTACTACTACTACTAGTAGTACTATACTGTCGTGGACATGGAAATCCGGTCGCACGTCTAGCGGCCCCAGGGCCTAGGGCGTGGGCCTGCATGCAGTCGAAGCACGTATCGCTGCTGCTGCTCGCATCGGATCAATAATTATGATTGTGCACTGCATGCAAGCCAACGACTTACGTCCCGGACTGGATTTCCATGTCCACGACTGTAGTCTAGTGACTAGTAGTAGTAGTGTAGAGTGTAGTAGATCGTAGGAGATCTACATATACTACAAGTACTGTAGCTGTAGCTGCATGTACGCAGGTGACCAGGTGACGTAAGATCACAGGGGTGTTGTTTGTTGGCTACATCAAGTCATCATGCCGCTGGTGTCAAAACAATCGTGACATGATTAGGCCACGCCATACATTGACACTCTATTGCTGAATCACTCATTTGAAGCTACTATTAGTATTATGTAGATCTACATGACTTCGTAGTTTGTACCACTCTGAGTCAGTCGGTTCGGAGTTCAAGCATGCTGGCAGATGCACGATGAATGGAAAGATAAAACTCGAGAAGGTCGCGAAATCGTTTCCCAGGCGCTACGCCAGCATTTTTACATTTTTGCATATCATATCCAGCGCGCGCTGCTGTTACAAACTCGTCAAACAACTACTTATTATTATGTGTTCTCGTGTCTGGCAAGGCACCGAGTCGAGCCAGTCACATGCTCATTTGCTGACTGGTTGAACTGTCATTCACCATTGACGGCATTGTTTCTTGCTCCGGAGCAAAGCTGGTCAGCTGGCTGTGAGAAAACTAAAGTGTGTTTCTTCTTTCACTCCTAATTCCGGTACCTAACTGTCTGTCGGAGCAGATGCGAATTCCGACTTCGGAACCGGTGCATGTATGCCATGCCCTGTCATCCTGATCGTTGACGTTTCACTGACAATTACTAACTTGTACTAAGTAATTACATGACTAGTAGTTGTAGTAAAAAGGAGTACAGTCCTTCGCGAATTCCCTGAAAGGCTGAAGAGAGCCAGCGATGGGCCACGTGGATGTGCTTGTGCTGGCCTCCGCGCTCAGTCTTCTCACTCTGGCGAAGTGTCAGCTGCAGCGTCAACCTACTATTCCGACGCTGGCGTCCTCTATCCACGTTCACCCGTTGTCCTTTGGCGACACAAACATCGTAGCGACTGTTCCTCTCCGCTCCGCTTCAGGATGTGTTCGCACAGCCGGCGATTCGTGTCAGGACTGTATTGATGATACGGGCATGCAGCTAGCAGCTGCGTTTCACTTTGCCGTGGAGTTGATCAACCAGCGCCGCCCTCTGCCGTCAAAGGTTACCCTTGGTGCATTGCTAGCTAATAGCTTATCGACATGCACGCAGCGTACCATCGGCCCAAGCTCCACGCTTGGTGCTCAACTTACCAGCGGCATGATAACTGTGCAGGGCGATAACTTCTTAGAATTGCTGTCACTTCATCGCGTGCATCATCGAGTGCTGTCTATGATAGACCTGGTGGATGTTGACAGTGCGTCGCGGACTACCATCGAAGGTATGGTCTACGTTCTGCTCTTGTTCGGCACACCGGAAATTCTACTGAGCTCACCACCGGGCACAACGATCATACCTGACACCGACCCGTTGCTGATGCGCTTTGAGCCAGTTGCCAGCCAGCAAGTGACTGCAATTGCCTACTTGGTGCAGCGATTCCAGCTGGAGCGAGTGGTGGTGGTTACGTCGGGCAACGATCAGTACTGGTCGGCTGCCGCGTCCTCGTTCTCTGCCGTTGTATCAACTGGCGGCGGGGCATGTGTCGGCGCCAACATACGCCTGCTCGGCTCTCAAGGCACGAACGCGTCCTACGCTCTCGCTGCCAGCCAGGTCAACGACCTGGCTGCGGCGTACGCAATGGACGGCGGCTCAACGGCGTTCATTCTGCTTGCCACAGTGAGCGACGCTGAGGAGCTGTTCAAGGCAATGCTAGCCAGCAACTCGCCGAATGTCTTGTGGATAGCCACCGAGCCGTGGAATCTGAGAACAAACTGGTTTGATTACCGTGAGCTGCTGCAGGGTATGCTAGTGGTGGCAGACCAGGCACCACCTGGACAAGCCCAAGATTTCATGAACTACTATACCGGTTTGATTAAGAAAATCCGCGACGACAGGCTTCGGAACAGCAGCCCCATGCGGGATGGGAATGGAACAACGGAATTCAGCCCTCCTTCTCCTTCACCATCCAGTTCTGCTGATATCAGTTCAGGATCCAGCTCACAGTCCTTGCAGCAGCAGCAATCCTCAATGCCGCCAATGGCACAAACACCGAGCAGCACGGAAAGCAACTTGCCACCGACTACACCGGTGCAGTCTCGCATGACAACGCACAGGCAACGATCAACAGGTTCGTCCAGCGGCCAGGCAGCGAGCACTAATGACCCAGCCAACACTCCTGTTCAACAATCAGGCACGGAGACGCAGCAGCCAGCAGCAACGGGAATCCGCCCTGGCAGTGCGCTCAGTTCATCATCAACTGGCCCTGCGATGGGCGGTAGTGAACCGAGCGTCACGCCATCAGAATCATCCAGCCACAGCAGCAGCAGCGGGGGTGCAACTCAAGGGCCAACAGCCTCACAACACCACACTACGCCGCCAGGTATTGTTGAAGTGTTTGAAAATGCGTCAATAAGTGGAAACGAATCTATCACGGATTACTCCGACATCCCGGTGAGTGATGCGCTTGATGAAATGCTGCAGATTTATGTGGAACAGCGACTGGCATTCTGTGAACAAACACTCAAACTCACGCCTTTAAAAAGTCTTTTGAATAGCCAACTTGATTTTGACGATTGCAACGACTTCTTGGCAGACACACCCAAGCTTCAGCTAGCACAGCGCTCCGCATTCCTCATTGACTCGGTGGCCTTGTTGGCGGCAGGGCTGCGTGGGGTGCTGCGTTGCAATGAGCGGCGCAACAACACAGCGCGATGTCAGCTTGATGGCAAAGCAACACCCGCCGATGCCGAGGACTTTGTGCAGTTTCTGGAGGATGAGACCGTGATCGATGGCTTTGCTGGTTTCAAACGCTTGAACTTTAGATCCGGCCTGCTGAACGAATACAGGTTTTCTTTCCACAATCTGCAGAGTCTGCAAACAAAGTGGGACATGAACAGCGTCGGCCAAGTTCTTCTTGATCAAAGAAATACTCTCACAGGTTCGTCACCATTCGCTGATTTCAAAGACCTGGAAATAGGTTCAATTGTCTGGCCCAATGGAACGGGTCGACCGCGTGCTGGCGTGTGTGAGCCGGTCTGTCCTGCAGGATCGTTCCGTGTAGAGAACCATCCGCCAGCGCACCTCATGGACATCGCGGGCGAGTGTTGCTGGACGTGCATGCGCTGTCCATCGCGTTCCATTACGAACCGCAGCAACGAGGAAAGCTGCCGAAGTTGTCGGCTAGATGAGATAACCAATGCCAATCAAACCGACTGCGTAATACTGCCGGTCGTACGGCTCGGTTTTAACGACATTGCCGCCATCGCCGTCATGTGCGTCAGCGGTGGCATCTTTCTCTTTGCTGCGTTCATCGCCGTCATATTTGTGCGCTATCGTCGCACGCCAGTGATCCGATCGTCCAGCTTTGAGCTGAGTCTGGTGGCGCTGGCAGCCATTGGCCTCCAAGTCCTGGTCTCTCCCGTGTACTTCATTGAGCCGTCGGAGGTGTCGTGTGAAGTCGGCTTTGCGCTGTTCTTCGTGATCTACACCGTACTCACCAGCACGCTGCTGATGAAGTCGTACAAGATCTGGTACATATTCCAGGCCAAGAAGCACCTGGACAAGAGCGAGCTGTTCTTCCTGCGCACGACGTTCCAGGTGCTGTGCATCTGCGTGCTGACCGGTATCTCCGTTGGCATGGTGATCATTATCAGCGTTCTCGACCAGATCAAGGCTGAGCACCTGATACGCGAGAACGATCAGCTCCTAGTGTGCTCTGAGTCCAACGCCATGTTCTTTGTGATGATTGGCTATACCTGTATTCTGACGCTGGTCAGCCTAGTGCTGGCATTCAAGGTGCGCAAGCTGCCGGCACGCTTCAACGACGCTCACTTTCTCATGATCACCTTCTCCATTTCGCTCATCGTCTTCCTCTTCCTCATCATCATCAGTCAGCAGTCGGAGGGATTTCAGAACCCGCTCTGGTTCCCTGTCACGGCTGCCATGTGGTCGTTTGCCGCGCTCGTCAGCTTGTTCCTACCTAAAGTCTACATTGTCCTATTCCGGCCGGAGAAGAACAAGACAGTTAGCACCTTCAGTCACACAGCCACCAAACTCAACATGCAGTCCACGAACACAGTCAGCGCGTCCATGCAGGATTCGCCGCTGAGTAAAGCCAAGAATGGTGGTGCGGGTGCTGCGGCAACACGCACTGCATACGTCTCCAGCGTGATGCACACGAAGAGTGTTGATTATGAAATGGAGTCGACGGCGGAGGACCTGGACCCCTGATGAAGCAGAGCGTCAAATCACCAGAGACTACAATGTAGTTTGTCCCTACCTGTGTGTGTTGCCGGTGGGTCAATGCTATGAGTGTGCAAGGGACGACCATCTCAGTCGCAGAAGTAGAACTAAGAGTCAGGACGACGACGATCGGTTTGCATGTGTGTTATGTGCGTTCATTTGAAGATAATGGCTATGGACTACCGGTAGTTACAGCATAAGATCATCATGCCTTGTGGACACACGCCGGCACACTTACCAATAAGAACACTTCTACATGTAGAGAGTAACTAATAGATTGAGATTGAGTAGAGTAACTTAGCTGTAGCATGGCTAGTATAGGAGATGACGCTACTCATGATTTGTGTGAAAATTGCCATGACCTTGAATCTCTAGCTGCAACAACTTGCTTTTCTACATTATTTAGTAAAGAGGGTACTTTTGAATATGCTTCTGTTGATACTCCGATATTGAGCGCAGTTGAAAGCAAAGGTTTCTTTCGAGTGGTGAATTATCCATGTTTATGACGAAACTAGACAATCAGATTAGAATTTTTGAGACACCTCATTCTGAGTGAGTGATACTTGAAAGCCAGGTTTTAAATAACTTTCCGGTAATGGTGCTGCTGGCTGATGCTGTTCCGAACTACTAAGCCAGCGAGAATACGCAATAATTGTTATGCTAACATGCCGCATCCTTGTCAGTGTTCAGTCTACCCTCTGTGATCGCTGGTATATGCTAAGTCATACTCTCTTTTCATGTTTTCGACTTGTTACCATAAGCCCTGAAGTAACGGTGCTGTACACGAAGCTATTCTAGTTCGGAGCCGCACTATTGTCAGTTGATTTGTTTCCTGGGCCTCTACTAGATGCGTATGTGTGCATATCATGGTGTGCATATGTGTGGAGCTCATGCAGTGTTGGCCTGGCAGTTTGTGCCTCTTGACCTATTGTGGACATAGTACCTACCGAATGATGCACATACACACACACACACACACATACACACACACATACACACACACCACACGAAGTTATCAGCCTGCTTCAGTTCAATCAACGCATTCTTTCCCATGCAGATCTTCTCCTGTGTCACTCTTGTCCTCAGCAGCGAAATATTAATAATTTAATTGTACGATGGCCCACAACGATCACGTACACGCCACCCTATACGTACATGTACATGTATGTCTAATGTGTTCAGTAGTTGGCCCTTGGGGTTCAATGAAAAGAATTGAAGAATAGAAAGCAGTCGTAACTGCCTCAAAACAAGGCCAAGGAGAAAGCCAATAAAACCTTATCGTGATATCGACATTAAATGTTTATGTCGATATCACGTTATACACGCAGTCAAAAATCAAGAATGGAGTGTGAACTGCGCCTACTACTGCATTATACTGTCGTGGACATGGAAATCCAGTCGATTTACCGGGGCCGGCGCCCTCAGGGCGTACAGAACAGCGCTTGATCCGATGCGACCAGCGCGCTGCAGCATGTGTGTACTGCCTACCCACGGCTGCATGGCCGGCGCCCTGGGGCCGCTAGACGTGCGACCGGATTTCCATGTCCACGACAGTAGTACTACACTACTGTAACAGTGTACATAATTGTTAGATTGACAGCATGAAACAAGGTGGAGGACACTGTGTTCGGAAACAGTGACCTTACTACAGTCCGTATCGCCTATAAGGTTGGCGGCTATAGTAATATACCGGATATAGTGATCAATTTCTCAAATTCATTTTCATTTGCCATAACTAAGTATACACAGTTATCGCGTATAGTAATAATCGTCTATAGTAATAATCGCCTATAGTGATCAAATTCATATTTCAAAACACCTTTATTACATTATTTTTGCATCGGTTATAGTGATTGATGTAAAATCAAGCGATATCTGAGGAGAACAGGGTGTTACTTCTTCGTGAAGAACTTGTCCAGTGAGTGTTGTTTGGTGAGGTGTGCTCGTACAAGTAAATTAGTTGCCAAAATATGCCTCCATCATGAGGAAAAATTTTTAATGCTGATTTTGTGTGTCGGGAGCTACAGCCAGCTACATGACATCATACATGTAGTGCGTATGTGCACGGCGCGCTGAGTCGTTTGACACCCCACTCGCATACATTGCATGCAGTATCGGTCATAGTGATAATCGCTTATAGTGATAAAATGCTCAAAATCAAACACCAACGCTATAGGCGATACTGACTGTACAACCTTCCGCGGTTGGCAGAGCCCCGGTCCCTGCGGACCATTTGAACCATATGGGTATCGCACCTGACCCTCATTATGCTAGGGTGTTAGGAGACTACTCCTGATGTTGTCTTGTTTTCTTCGCTCTTTTTTTAAACTTGTATAACAACTTCTTTTTCTTTTTTCTTCCAACTTCTGCCCATGCTGTCAATCTAACGTGAACTATAACAAGGTTTATCTAATACTGGTTTTTAACCAGTGTTAGGTTATATCATACAGTGTACATGTGTAGTACATTACCAAAGGCCACTGCACTGGAGAGGGACAGGAATAATTATTATGGTCTAGCCCACGGGCCAAGTTTTGGAAGTTTTGGAAATTCCAAAATCGGTGCAATTTTGCATGTAGTCTACGCATACTTGAACTTCAAGTGACCCACACAAACTGGCAAAAGCTTTGCAACTCCCTTCAGCGGTTGGGAAGCTGGTATGCTTTCCAACGGCCAAATAGAGTTGGAAAGCTTGTGTCTTTGTGGGTACCTAACTTGAACATTTGGGCTCATGCAAAATCGCACCGATTTTAGGATTTCCCTGAAACCTTTTGCTTCAGCAAAAGTTGTGCTTGACCGCATTCTGTAAATCCTGTCACTTCGCAGTGGCTTTTCGTTGGGGTAGTTTGTATCCCACCCCTGAGTCAGGGCCCTGATTTATGAGTGTGTGCTTAATGCTTATATCGTTATAATCTTATTGGCTTTCTTATTGGGCATGTTGCTGTGGCAGTTACGACTGCCTTTCCTAAAAATAAAAATAAAAATTGTGTGTTACTCCCTACATGGGAGCTTGCGCTATTCCTGCCGACTTGAATTCTTACTTGACTGACTCACGACTGCCAGACTCACGACTGCCATCCAAGTATCGCCGAAGTCGCACCAACCTCTTCTTCACATTGGTGTTCCCGGCGCGGGCTTGCGAATTAGATGGTTTGGAGGCACCAACGTTGTGAATGGCTAACGGTCCTCAGCGTTTGTTCAGCACCTCCATGAGCGACACTGACTCACGCTGCTATCTGGTGTTCACGAGGTGTTTGTCGCGCTGGAAACGGAGCGTCTCTGTAAGTTTGTATGCCTGCATGGTGATGTTTGTGCCTGGACAGCACTATATAAGTGGTCCTGTTCAGACACAATCTTCCTCAGCCTACTCAAGCTCAACTGATGACGGGTGAATTCCCCGAAACACTGAGTATCGAGCAGGGAGTGGTGCTTTCTTGCAGGTTTGCCGAATGGAAGGTTCGATGGAATTCTCGTCTGCTCTGGATGGCAGTCGTGAGTCAGTCAAGTGAGAATTCAAGTCGGCAGGAATAGCGCAAACTCCCACGTGACGTAGGGAGCAACACACAATTACCCAAGTATGGCCGAAGTCGCACCAACCCTTTCTTTTTGAGGTAAAAAAACCTAAGGGGTGGTGTGTGCGTCGTTGACCATTGTAAGGTTACTTACAGCTCAGTCAGAGTTGATGGCTAGTGACAGGGGAGTTGAATCTGCATGAGAGTGGTGCAAAAAGAAAGCAGTTGACGCCCTCAGTTGCTCAGTTTCGGAATCCAAGTACTTAGGCACTTCTTGTGCTCTCCTTATTGTTTCGGCTGAGCATATACTGACCAGGTTCTCGCCGATGACTTCTGGCAAAGCAAAGTTTCCATCAGGGAATGGAGATCCGCATCTGACAAACACAACGTTGGATCAGTCTGCTGGTAACAAAACCATGCAATTGGACCCACACCCACATTCCTCACTGAACCTACACGCACACGCGTTCTTTCCTACTGTACTGGACACTCCCATCTCGCTCACCAGCATTCTGGACCACCCCAGCTCACGCTCCTACCAACAAACTGTCGTTCTGTAGTGAATAAGTGTACAGAGCTTACCATGGCATAGTTGCTGAAGAGTGGCAGCCTGACATACTCTGCCTAGCTGAAACCTAGCTCGACCCGAATATTGCACTTAAAGGGGAAGTTAAGGCAAAAATTAAAATTTCACCAGTTGTAGTCTTCGGGGTGCTGAGTCGAATGGTCTTGGTCCGAGGAAGCTGAGACGCTCCCTTCCTACTTGAATCCCAATCGAACTCGCGCACTTCCACCGAAACTGGGTGACTGCGCCCTACTAGATGGGGATTTGTATGCAAAATGTCACTAAAAGCGCCATTTCGTTCTTATAAAAGCACGGATGACCGCGATTGGCCCATATGTTGTACTCTTTTGGACGCTGAGTCGACTGGTTTTGGTCCGAAAAGGCTGCGATGCAGCGTTCCTCCTTTATTCCCAATCGAACATGGTTGAAGAAGCGGTCACGTGCTCCTGGGTGCCCAAATTAGGCCTTGACGGATTATGCTAGCATAATTTTTCGCATAATTCCTACCAAAATCGAATAATCGCATAATTCGAGGCAAATTGCATACAAATTGCATAAATAATGGAATAATCCGCCTGTTCGCATCAAATTCCATAGAGTTGTACATGTTCTACAAGTACAAGTACAAGTAGATGCACCAGGAAGTCATACAGTCATGTAGGTTTACGACTCCCTTCATAACATGTCCAGTCCAGTCCACTACAATCAGTGACGGTCGTAGCTACAATTGTAGGTCGGACGGTGCGTAGACCCCGTTGAACTTTTGCTACTACAGTACAACGCCCTATACAAAAATATTCCCTGTCATTTTGCACAGAACCATCATTATACATGTACATTAGCAGCATATGTGAGCATAATGCGGCATAATATGATAACTTTTAGCATAAAAATAGCATAATTCTGCAATTTTTTCAGCAATGCGAAAAGCATAATTTCACGAAAATATTAGCATAATCCGTCAAGGCCTAGCCCAAATCACCTGGTCACCACGCCAGCAGGCGACAACTTTCACACCAAGGTTCAACTCGAGTTCAACTCGAGTGACAGGACTGCACCCAAAAAAGGTCAAACAGGCTAGTAAGTTGTACCCTGCAGGTACGGTGACCAGCTGACTGGTGTACGCAGCAGCACGTGACCACTTGTTCGACCATGTTCGATTGGGAATAAAGGAGGAACGCTGCATCGCAGCCTTTTCGGACCAAAACCAGTCGACTCAGCGTCCAAAAGACTACAACATATGGGCCAATCGCGGTCATCCGTGCTTTTATAAGAACGAAATGGCGCGTTTAGTGACATTTTGCATACAAATCCCCATCTAGTAGGGCGCAGTCACCCAGTTTCGGTGGAAGTGCGCGAGTTCGATTGGGATTCAAGTAGGAAGGGAGCGTCTCAGCTTCCTCGGACCAAGACCATTCGACTCAGCACCCCGAAGACTACAACTGGTGAAATTTTAATTTTTGCCTTAACTTCCCCTTTAATATTACGCATTATGACACCTTCCGCAGGGACAGACCCCCTGAAGAGAATAAGTCCCAGACAAGCGCAAGAGGTTATGGTGGTGTTGCTATCCTTGTCCGACAGAACAAGTTTTTGAAGTCTGTTGTCGAGCGTCCCGACCTAGCTCGCGATGGGTGCGAAGCCTTTTGGGTTCAACTCCAGCCGTATCCGGCCGTAGCTGAGCCGATCCTCCTCTGCTGCATGCAGTTATCGTCCACATCCTGCTAAGACACCAGATATAGCAAGGTACTGCCAGACCCTCGAAGGATTGCCGAGTGGAAGGTTCGACGGGCTTCTCGTGTGCTCCAGACGCAATCGTGAGTCAGTCGGCAGGAAGCACGAGCTCCGACGTCCGGAGCAGCCACTTTCTTCACAATTCATAGTGTTCGACAGATTCCATCAACACTGCCGGTGCAGGTACTTGACTGACTCACCACTGGAAGGTTCGATGGACTGCTCGTGTGCTCTCTCTCGATGGTAGTCGTGAGTCAGTCAAGTGAGAATTCAAGTCGGCAGGAATAAGTATCGCCGAAGTCGCACCAACCTCTTCTTCACATTGTTGTCCCTGGCGCGGGCTTGCGAATTAGATGGCCTGGAGGCAACAACGTTGTGAATGGCCAACAGTCCTCAGCGTTTGTTCAGCACCTCCATGAGCGACACTGACTCACGCTGCTATCTGGTGTTCACGAGGTACGTGTTGGTCGCGCTGGAAACGGAGCATCTCTGTAAGTTAGTTTGTATGCCTGGTGATGTTTGTGCCTGGGGAGCACTATGTAAGTGGTGCCCTTCAGACACAATCTTCCTCAGCCTACTCAAGCTCAACTGATGACGGGTGAATTCCCCGAAGCACTGTGTATTGAGCAGGGAGTGGTGCTTTCTTGCAGGTTTGCCGAGTGTAAGGTTCGATGGACTTCTCATGTGCTCTGGATGGCAGTCGTGAGTCAGTCAAGTGAGAATTCAAGTCGGCAGGAATAGTGCAAGCTCCCACGTAGGGAGCAACACACAATTTACAATTATTCAAGGGAAAAAAAGAAAAGAAAATCAGGAAGAGGATGTACCTTGTAGTAATATCAAAACATAAAGCCATTGCCGAGCCACCGTGCTCACAGCAGAGACTTCTGTGTGTGTTATTGTTGTGAAAGTGGACCACAAAGACTGCCCATTTTAGCTAAATTCCAGCTCTGCCGCTCGGGAAAGAGTACGAAAGTAGGATGTAGTACAGAAAAGAATCAGGCACAGCAATGACACAAGGCTAGGGGTTGGTACGCCATCAGTGTAGGGAGTGTATCAGTGAAGGTGCTGGTGGAGAGGGACTGTTCAATTTGGGGAGACAGGTTATAGAAGTGAGAGATGGCGGTAAACAGCTCCAAAGCATGCTGGCTTTGTGAAGATGGCGGTAAACAGCTCCAAAGCATGCTGGCTTTGTGGAGATGGCGGTAAACAGCTCCAAAGCATGCTGGCTTTGTGGAAAATGTACACGGTTGTTACTGGTAGTGGATGTTCAGTTTGTTCGGTTTAGTTGTGGGACTCGAAGACAGAGATTGATGGAAGCATACGATTGCGATGTTTTCATAATGCGATCTTGCAAGAGTAGGATTCGTATTGCGGTACTCTTGGATCTACCGGTAGCTCTTGCGAAGTTACTGTAACATGACTTCCTCCGTAACCTGAAGAATTTCTCGATGTGTGTGATATGCTGGGAATTGGGTACTTCATGTGTCCAGCAACAAGCAAATGAGCACCAGCATGTCCGACATCCTTGGAGCTGAGAATCTTTCAGCGAGGCTTCATGTGCTCTTCATACCGTGTAGATATACGCCCTAAATCGGCCCAGGCTGGAAAAATCAACATACACGTACATGTACTGAACCAGCCATCTAGACTTCAGGCGGCACATGACAAGCATAGAGATAATGCGTAAATACCAGATCCTCTGAGTGGATTGAGATCGATGGAGAGCTCTAGCCTCACGCCGCAATGCCTTGACTTACCGCACCGGTCAAGCGTAGGCCGTGGAATCAAGTTTTAGCTATGAGTGTTCCCCTCGTCAGGAGCTTTCCCAGAGATCCAAGATTTACGACAATTGTCCAACGGCTATACAAGTTATGCCAAGGAAATTTTTTAGGAGAGTGCAATTCTCTGTACAGATTTAGCAATGTCTCGGCCGACTACTTCCGCAATAACTAGAGGCAGCTATGGGCCATTTTGCACTCGCGCCCCCCCCCCCCCCCCAGCCCTGAGATCACGGTACAAATCTGACAGACACAAACCAGCTCACCTCGCCATAACGCAATTGTCATACTCAGTCAAAGTAAAGCTGCATGTGTAGTAGTCGGACAAGTGACAAGTTGAATATGGCAATACAAAGCCGAGTAGAGTCTACCAGTACTAGAGCAGTGACAAGTTGAATATTAATTTATAGCCTGTGCCGTTTAGTCAGGGGTGCAGCGGGTTAGAGCCGATTGTGGCAAAGGAAGTATCTACTGGTCCATGCCATTGTATTGGGCAATGCATAGAGATTCACCAGCATTGTATTTGTAAGGCATGCATTTTGTATTCTTGGTGATAATTCAATGTGATGAATGTAGGGATTATTGTGTAGAGGCTAAGTTTAATGGCACTCAAAAGTTGTATTGCATTGACCATGGTAAGTTTAAAATTCCCTACACATGAGTCGTGTGCACGCGCAAGAGCAAACTATGAAAATCCTTGATTGGCTGACCGAGGCGGGATGGCAAGAGAGCAAGAACGAGAGGAAAGAGAGCGGGAAACACCACAGGTTGGGAACTAAAACCATTGCAGTGATACCTGTCTCGAAAAAAGCGCACGCATCACAAATCCGGCTAAGTAGGATAGATACCGCAGGCTTCGTGAATCTAACACAGGATAGCAATACAGAGTAACTAGTTACTGTAGCGTTGTGCCGCATTGGTGACACATCACAGACAATTACACACCTAGGAAAATACCGTGATGATGATGAGCTGTGTTCTACATAAGAACCAGTCCTACAACTAAGAATAACTATAAAGCCCCAGGAGCATATGCATGAACGGGACTTTTAGACGAATATTGTCACAGGGAGTAGGAATCAGACAGGCATTTCTGACTCACGATGATACCAGGAATTCTTGAAGAGTGAGTGTCCTTGCAGGCCACTTGTACAGTGCAGTGGAACTAGTTGCAATTGCGACAGTGTTGGCTAGTAGAGACAGGTGCAATTGTGCCAGTGCTGGCTAGAAGAGACGGGTGCAATTGCCGCAATGCTGGATAGCAGAGACAGGTTGCTGAACTATAGCTTCTAGAAATGCAGTGTCACACTGTCGGAAGTTGTAAGCTTTGCTTACATGGTCTGCATCACCCAATCGGGAACGCTTGCGGCTAGTCGAGGAGGTCTTGGGTGGTCCGTACCTGCTGCTGCGGTTTTGTTCACCCACGGGTAGTTGCAGTTGATAAGGTTGACTGGTTGACTGCCGGGTTGCGTTGTAGCTGACAGTGTTGTGTGGCTTGTGCTCCGAGCTGGCTGTGATAAACTAGTTATCGCGTTGACTTGTGTTGGCTGTTGAGCTTGGCATGAGGGCTATTGTCAGTCACTGGGTACACAAGGGTTGTAGCACCCTGGTAGCCTTGTTGGTGGATTGGCTGAGGGTGGGACACACGGTTGACTTCTGGCATAGGGTTTTGCGTGCAGGCATATGTCCCAGCTGATGGGAACACCATGTGCAGAGGAGAAGGTGCCACCGGTATAGCTGCTGGTGATACTACCGTGATACCTGACACTGGTGGAAGAAGGGACGGTGGTGACAGTGCTGATAGGACTGCGGGCTGTGTGCTAGCAGGTTGAGGAGCAGGGGTCAATAATAGGACTTGCTGTGGAGCAGCAATGGCTATGCTACTCTTTGCAACTCCAGGTTTCTCGGTGGTCAAGATGATGGGAGCACCAGTGTTGGTTGCCGGTGACTGCAAGATGGACCCTGATGCCAGTGTGCTTGTCACTGTTGCACACAAGACACAAAGGATGTCACGCAAAAACAGTACTGTTCTCACGGGAAAAAAGAACACAAACAAAGCGGAAACTGGTAAATCAGGATGAACCTTGTAAGGTGGACTTGACACAGCTGTTCAGTGGTGAGCGCATGCACATTTCATTAGTTGTGCTTAGCGGTATGAACAGTTGTCCATGGTCTCCATTCACTCAGCTGTATCAACAACAGTCGGCACCGGCGTAACAAAAAAAGTTAAAGGGTGGGGGGTAGCGGATGCAATACACGGCATCAGGATGAGATTCTGCATCTATAGTGTTGCCGCGTGATTGTCACTCTGAGAATAGCTGAGTACGAGGCAATGTGATAAGAATGTAAAGGCCCAAGCGCCTTCAGTCATGCATGCCGGCATCATCACCCAGTCAGGCTGTGCATCACAGTCTGATCGATGCATCAGTTTCCTAGTTTATATTTGCCTGCGTTTGTTTCCAGAAGACCGTTAGCCCCATCACTCACCCTGGCTGTCCAAATTCTGCTGGTGTGGCAACATCATCTGTTGCTGAACAGAACTGAGCGCTGTGTTAGTGACCGTCTCTGGCGACTGGATGGAAGTTGGTGTGTGGCTGCTCAGCTGGCTCTGTGAATTACCGGTCTGCATGGTTGAGGTTGATGATACTGCTGTGCACGCTGTGCTGGATTCAGCCGCTGACTGGCCAACTGATCCTAGCCTTGACCGATTGGGACCATCCGGAACTCTCCGACGCTGATTAATAAACCTGTCACACAGTCGGGTAGTTGGCAAAATCGTCAACATCCATATAGTTATGCAGGTGCCAGCGGTCACGAATGTCATCAGTGGACATAGAAGTACAGAGCATAGAAGTACTGTGCCATATGATAATGGACATCAGGATGGTTGATACAGAAAGCAAAATGAGGTTTGATTGTAACTCGGAGTTTCAGACAAAACTGCAATCCTCAGGCAACGCTGCTCTTCGAGTATTGTGGTTTCCTGCGCAAATCTCACTTCACATGCACTGAATTCTTAATGAGAAAGTACTCGGTTACCTGAAGAAATGTTTCCTAAAACTATTACTTCTATCGATTGATCCTTAATCTGCGGACAGCTAGCGGTTTAGACCTTGTTTAGTAGGTCCCACCTGATCACCTGATCAGCGGAGCTCAGAGTGACCGGCCAAATCGTTCGCAATGACGCCTAGTGAGTGACAAAGCGTTTTAAACCCCGCTCAAAGCATCAACGCCAAAGTGCTATATCTGCGAGAAATGAAAGACGGTTGCATGACAGCAGGGATCACGGATGCAGAGCATGACATCAGTGGGGCCCACAGTACTACAATGTCAAAAACCATCCGATCACCTGGCTGTGCTGGGGGCGGTGTACGTTGCCAAGCTGAGACCTGAGCTGCGTGGGCAGAAGACGTCTGTTGGAAAGTTGTCGCTGTTTTGACGTTGAAGTACCACAGTCCCCACCGCTGTTTGTTTTTAGACTCTGTATTCATGGTGTAACTGTGTACGCGGCACCACTTGCACCCTCTTAGGTGCCATTTTGTCACTGCTCTGACCGCCTAGAAAGCTAGATAAAAGGACTTGTTTGCTACTGCTCATGTCACCAAAGTACTGACTCGGAAGAGTAATGGTGCGAAAAACCTCATCAAAATTCCCAGTCGCTTCTGTGCTTCGCTTGCCAGATCCTGGCCAACTGAAGAATAATAATAGAGAAGAAACCCCTGAAACAGACAAAAGTTGCTCACCAGTTCTCAAGCTGCTGTTTGGTCATCGTAAAACCAAACTTCTCCTGTAGTTGGGAAATAAGAGTATCCTTTTCCTGACCTGTAGGGTATGGGTTCTGAGAGATAGAGAGAGAGAGAGAGAGAGAGAGAGAGAGAGAGAGAGAGAGAGAGATAGAGAGAGAGATAGAGATAGACAGATAGATAGATAGAGAGAGAGAGAGAAAGAGAGAGAAAGAGAGAGAGAGAGAGAGAGAGAGATAGGGGAAGAGAGAATGAGAAAGAGAGAGAGGAGAAGAGATTTATACAGAGAGAAACAAAGAGAAAACAAAGAGAGACAGACAAAGAGAGAGAGAGAGAGAGAGAGAGAGTCAAAAGAAAGTAACGAGAAACAATCAAACTCACCCAACAGAACCGGTCCGGTTGGTCAGGCCATGCGCCGGACCAAGTCTTTGGCCACCAATGCTTGTTTACTACCGAGGAGGGCATGCCATGCGTGTGCGCCATGTCATCCACAAAGTATGAAAGACTATGTATGGCCGGACCGCTAAAAAACTGCTCCTGCTGTTTCAGCCCGGCTAAGTCGGGCTGTACTAGCATGTGTGGATAGTCTGAAGGTTGCAACTTTATGTGCTGCTTTAACCTGACTGTTCTGGAGCATGAGACTGGTGTCTGATTTTGCCACTGTAATATTGAAGATGCGAATCCAACCAAGTTACATGCTGCTGAACCTATAGTTTACCACAAGCTAAGATCAAGGCATAAGGCAGCCACGGTGGTTGCATGCAGGCAGAAAGTACCACTGATCTCTCACCAACAAACCACACTGGCTCTGACTGGAGGGCCGTGAGCTAACCACCAGTTTATTACTTTAGATGTGTACAAGTAGATGCAGCTGCTGACTACTCTCATGCAACGGGCTACAAATGGCCTCTCAACCAAGCCATTCACCATAAGCAAAGCTGTGGACGCAGCATACTGCTGCTACACTTCAACTCGGGAATGCTTATGATAATAATAATAATAATTGTACACACACCAGTCAGCGCAATGTACAATTCAGCTTAGGGTCCGGTGGATTCTGCCGGCAGAAAAATTGGCAGAATTCGGTACTTTTTCGGGTAAGTTTCATGCATGTTTGGTATGTGGATAAAGAAATTGAGCAAAATTCGAGGAATTGCCCGCAATAAGGTTTGTATGGTTCTGCCAATTTCACTGCCCTTCGAGCAGAATCTGCCACCTTTTCGAGCATAATCCGCCGGTCCCTAACTCAGCTCCAAAATTGGTGGGAGGTGAGCTGATCAGGCTCGCCACTAAGCGGTCAAAGACCGAAAATAATTGCTTTAATAAAAGCTACATCCGTTGTACACTCGGCCTAGATGGCTGTTAGCGATGCTCACCTCCGCGTTTTTGCGGTACCACTCTTTCAAGTAGCCGGTGACTGCTGGTGGATGTCGGAACTTTGGTTTCATGCCACTGTGGTCATTGTCGGAACTTGACGAGATCAGTGCCAGCTCTCCATCCGGGGGACTTCCCTCTTTGCATCTGGATACACTGGTGTCATCAGCACTTTCATCATTGGTAACTTCAGCCCGTTGCCTGCCATCCAGACTATGGCTTGCACAGATCCTTCTCTTAGCGGGCGGTCCACTGGAACTGCTCACGTTATCAACTAGCGGTCGATCGGAAGAGGAGCATACAAATAATGCACACACACACACACACACACACACACACACACACACACACACACACACACACACACACACACACACACACATACACACACACACTTGTACTTGTACTTGTGTGCTCACTGCCAAAACTGGTCACGTGGGTCTCCCCGGGAGAGGGGAGAGAGACTCAAAAGGAATCTTGGAAAGATGACTCAATTGGCTATTGAACCGCCCAACAGCCGACACCCCCTGAAATCCCCAAAACTCTGGGTGGACTTGAAAATGATCCCACTTATGGGCTCACACACACACACACACACACACACACACACACACACACACATACACACACACACACACACACACACACACACACACACACACACACACACACACACACACACACACACACACACACACACACACACACACACACACACACACACACACACACACACACACACACACACACACACACACACACATATACACACACACACACACACACACACACACACACAAACACACACAAACACACACACACACAAACACACACACACACCAGTGTACTTCCTTATCACTCTTACTTATAGGACCACCACATTGCAGTAAGTCACTGAAGACAAGGGGCAGAAAAACGGATTGAATGCACCTGTGTATCCATCCCGCTATTCAACTGCATTAGCCAGCCCCATGAAGATAATACTTGATACTAGTGTGGGTTCGTGAATCCGAGTGGATCTGATGCAGGTGCCACTAGCATGATCGAATATACCGAAGTTAATGTAGACAGAAATAGTGTAGCGTTAGCACGCTAGTAACTTACACAGCTGCAGCGTGAATCACTTTCAATGTATTGGTCACGCGTGTTGCACCGCACCCCGCACCCCGCACTTGCAACTCTTACTACCGTGCTTGCCGACCCATGACGTGCAAAGCAACTAGTCAGCTCACTGTGTTCAATGTTTCGACCTTAGAAATACTAGCACATGCACACTCTAGACCTTTTGCTGCACTTTCAACCGCCTCAGTTTTACGCCCATTGCCCACACCGCTATTCAGCTCCTTCTTCTGCATAGAATCAAATGGCATTTCTTGTGCAATGACTGTGGCCCACACATCTTACTTTGACCTTACTTCTTCTGCTCTACGTATCCCCTGGTCATAGGCTAGCTTACGTACACTAACAGTTCCTCACCCTATGAAAGCTGCTGTTCACAATTCTCTTCATGTCAGTTTAGAGTTAGAGTTCAACCTTCAATCCAGTCTTTAGTAATAATAAACAACAGTGTGTTCACTGAGACCCGTGCGCATTTGCCTCCGAGAGACTGCGGCCCGCTACAATAGCCTATTGGTCAACAGACACCAGATATGAACATGGCAATGCTGACTTCATATCCACTTGGAAGCAGTTTCATACGGATCCATACACGGTTCCGGTAGTGACTAAGCGCGGCCCTCCTGGCCCAGGACCAACTGCTCGTAGAGAAAAAGTCTAAGGAGCATGTTATATGCCCCCCACCACCAATCTATATGTACTATATTTCCCTTGGTTAAATAGGCCAGAAATCGTTAATTGAACCATTGACAGGTTTTTCAGATTTTGAAAAAAACATAGGTCTCAACTGGGAATAGATAGAAACAGTTTGCGTTCTGAAGAGTCACAGATGCAGTCAGTGGACAGTGTATCATGGTCTTTCTTAAATCAAAAGTCTTGAGGGATGCTTTGGCACCCAAAGCACCCCCCCCCCCCTAGTGCCTACGCCCCTGAGCACACACAGTGTATGTACATGTATTGCGGAGGAGGGGGAGGGGGGGGGGGGAGGGGGGGGGGGAGGGGGTAGGAGGACTGCACCACTACCCACCTGATCTACACTACAATGTTAGCTAACAGCCGGCACACAGTATTAGTAGGGTGTACAAAGTACTGTACATCCTCCCTCACACTATGTCACACTATGTCACACTATGTCACACTATGTCACACTATGTGCTTCTTACCAGCTGGCATTGCTGCAGTAGAGAACTGGGGACGCAGATCAAGAAAGTGAATTACACTTCTAGGTTATATCCTGTATGGCGGAAATTCAGACCTTTTTGCGCTTGTGTACATCGTACTGTAGGCCGTCAAAGTCTGACGTCACTGCTTGTTGACAACGCGTTGGCCAAGTGGTGACAAACAAATACCGCGTCACTTGCGCTTGTCCTGTTTCCAGTGGCAGCAGCATGCAGTGAACACAGCTACAGCATCAATTTGACTGAGGAGCGTGCGAGCGAGAATATTCATTTCAAGTATACTGCTACTTGTCGCCGAGTTTGTAGTTTTCGCTTTGTAGAGAAGGAGAAGCCGTAGCTGATCATTTGCTTAGCCACTGCTGTGCCAGTACTGTTGTTCGGCTTTACATGTAGTCGCCGGTCAAGAAGCAATGTCGGGTGTCTCTGTTATTTCTATTGCAGCGATCGCTGATCAGTTATTTTGGTTCTCAGAACAACCAACTCTGGGCTCGTTTCCTTGTCCAGCGGCAAGCAAAAATCAGAACTCCTATCTCTCAGGTGCTGGTGAACACTCAGCACGAAAACACTACACTTGAGCGCGAAGGAGAAACTTCTTGAAGTAAAACAAAATTTGAACTCGCAATCTTGCACGAGCGCGCCCCAGTCAAGATGCTGCCGTGACCGTTGGAAACACGACAAGCGCAGGTGACGCGACTTTCGTTTGTCACCACTTGGCCTTGTAACTACGAGTTTTCGGGCAGCGTGACGTCGGCACTTCGACAGCCTATACAGTCAGACTTGCTGGATTGTACATGGCTCTCTATCCGTCAGAACACATGCACTGGCATGTAGTGTCTACAGCAGTGCATGATCAGGTCAACACCGTATTTCGACATGTACATGTATACGCTGAAGTCGCCCATACAGGTACACAGGTACACAGGTACACAGGTACACAGGTACACTAGTACGGGGGCCAGGCATCAAAAAAGTGGCTGAAAAAAACTTTCGTTTCCACTTCGTCCGCACAACAATTTGACTGCAGATAATGAAAGCAGTGGCCTTCCTGACACGGAATCAACAAAAAATTGCTTCAAAATGCGAATGGAAGGCCTCCATCGAGTAACTTTTCTCGCACCTGTTCAGCCATTGCCGCTTGTCTCTTGCGCTGAGTTTCTTCTCCGCGCGAGCAGTCACGCAACGGTAAGTTTTCCTCACGGGACTGTCCCGTCCATTGTACGGCGAACTGAGCATAGTCTGCGCTGCGCGAAACACGCATACAGAGTCTAGTCTCACACCTCACGTGCTCAGCGGTCCACGTGGAGTGTCAAGTTTCAAAAGTGAACTCGGATGTGTCGATTCACGTACTACTACTGCGCTTCTTCTCCGTTTTTGCCTTTTTGTACTCTCACGCATAATAGTAAGTAGTTTGTTTTCGGGTGGTGAGGTTCTGGAAAGTCGATGTCACAGGCAGATTGTCCCCAGCGGACAACTCGGCAAAGTCTATCTGTACCAGTTGTAGAGCCAGGGCGAAAGGAGTGCATATTCTGTCAGAAATTTCAGCTGGGAAAGAAGCACAAGTATCAGAAAACTTCGCAGTGCCAGTCACACAACGCTGCCCAGAAAGTGCTAGACGCAGCTAAGTTGCGGAGAGACGAGGCTATTGTAATAGCTATTGGTTCTCAGTCTTGCCTCATAGCACGTGAAGTTCACTACCATTGGCACTGCTTCCGAGAGTACACCAGACTATTGGAGGTCGAGGATCCTGGGGACGACCCTCAGGGAATTGGTGGACAGGCTCCTTCGGAGGAACAAGTAGTTGCCCAGTTTCTTGAGGTCGTGCGTCAAGAATTGTTTGACAATTCTGCACTGCTGACCTCTGCTGATCTCCAGTCCATCTTCCAGACCTGCTGTAACAAGGAAAGTGGCAACTTCTGCACTCAGGTCAGAAATCGAAAACTGAAGAGCATCATTTTGAAAGAGTTTGATGGCCAGCTCGCTGCAACGCCCCTGAATTGTTGTGTGCTGTTAGCTCGACTGACAACTTTATCAGACAGTTTGCACTGCTGAAGGAGGAAGTTGCAGAAGATGAACCCCTAATGCCCGCCGATCCTTATTGCAGTGAGTCTGGGGAGGAGTCTGAGGATGAGTCTGCCAAAGTGGAGAGTAGCCATGTCTGGACCAATGAGTGTGAGGAATGGAGAGTCTTATATCATGCAGCAAACATCCTCCGCCAATCCATCGAGCACCATGTCAAGTCCACGAAGCAAGAACTGAGCGGTGCACGGCTGTCTCCTGAGGATAGCGCGCGATTGATTCCTGACAAGCTCTTTAATTTTCTTGCATGGACCCTGGACAAGGATGCCGAATTCCCGACGTGCCGCTTGCCGTCTCTTGAGAGTGTTCTGCAACGCCGTATCCATGCCATCTGCCAGGATCTTATCGGTTTTGCGGCACTGGTTACCGCACTCCGAAACACATTGTGCTGGGCATGGCAATCCATCACCTGTGCCGCAGTAAGCAGATAGTTACCATGTTGAATCGTCTTGGCTATTGCTGTAGCTACAGCCAGGTACTGGAGCTGGAGACTTGCTTGGCAGAGTCTTTTACACGCCATCAGCACAATCAGTCTTTCTTGCCTGCCGCCATCGACACTCGCAAGCCGTACCATTTCGTGTGAGATAACAATGACCCTTGCGAGGAGACACTGAGCGGACTTGCGACTACGCACTGTACAAATGGTATCGTTGTACAGCCTTCTCTGCAGGATGAATCGGTAGCAAGTGAAGCGACTTCCATCTCTCTGCCTACACTGTCAACGTCGAAGCGAAAGCGCTCATTGACAATGGTCCCGGAGATTCAGCCTGTGTTTGCAATGCCTGCAAGACAAAATCCACCTCCCATCATACGCCTATGCTGCTGACACCCGCTCTGGTGCTGCATTGATGGACTTTGTCTGGAAGCTCTCCCGGTTCTGCCCAGATGGACAGATCAGCAAGCCTCGTGCAGTCATTGAGATTGGAGCTGCAGCTGATGGCAAGTCTCAGAGCATACCCGCGTGGACAGCATTCAATTATCTCGCGACGAAGAACAATGTGCCTTCTAAGTCGGAGATTGGTTACTGTCCGGTGATCAATGCATCGCCAATATAGAACCTCACTGTCTATACCCTACTATGCCGCTCCATTACTATGGCAAGGCAGGCTGATCTTCCATTCACGATGGTAGTTCTGGATCAAGCAATTTATGCCAAGGCTGTCGACATCGTGTTGCAGAGACCCCAAGAATTCCGCTCTGTGGTTCTCCGGAGTCGACTTGAAGTCAAACTTGATGACAGCATCTGTAATGTCCATGCTCTTGTACACATTATTATCGATGAAATATATTATGTCATGTTCTTGTGGGCCATCGAAACTGGCCTTCTGTCTACTTTAATGCGCATGCCTGCTGGAATCGTAACCAATGTGCATGTACAGTGCGTATCGGTTATAGCGTGGTCGTGTAAAAGAATATACTGCATACAAGAATGAACCCTCATGTTTTCATAATCATAACATGGATTTCAAGTGCACATTTATTCTTACAAGCAATTTTATCCCATAGTAGAATATATCGGTCCTAAGAATGGACTTTGTGTAGCGAAACATGCCAATTAGTACAAAGTGTATCGCCTGTAGTAATAACATCTGTCCAATTCCGTTCTGATGTGACTCTCGTTGCGTCGTAGTGCTGCAGATTCAACTGTTGTGGCCATGTAACTCAATTTTTGCATAGCCACATGTAAGCTTATGGGACTATGACCAGCCACATGCACAGAAGTACTGTGTTGCATGTACGATGATCTTCCTGCCCCTGCGGACATGCATATGATATGCCACACTTGATTTATCATGTGTAAGAAATATCGGAAATAAGAATAGAAAGTCGTTTTTCAAAAACCCACGCTATAACCGATACCTACTGTACATGCTTTGAACATACTTATGACTGACTTCCTGTGCTGGAAGGCATGATTGTACATGTACAAGTACCCTGTGGAATAAAGTATGCTTTATCTCTGCGTGTGGTGAAATAGTCAGCTGCTTCCTTCATGCCAGTACACTGTATTCTGATTTGATACATATAATGTACACAATGCTGTAGTACATGTACATGTACATGACTCTATAATTATGACTATTCGCATTGATACAATAGAGTGCACGATGTGCATGATACTCCATGTACATGTATGTTTTACTAATAGCAGTGCCAGTCGACACGAATACATACATAGTATGTACCCCTCAACAAATTTGGAGCTTCTGTGGAAGAAAATAACATGAAAAACACGCTGTTGCCATACTGTTGCTATGCAGTTGCCATGGCAACCCATGGGAAACTTTCAAATGCCAATTCCACACCGTTCCATCCCGATTCCAGGGGTGAAAAATATATCAGGGGACTCTACACGACTAGGGCTACAAGATGAAGTACATATTTTGTTGTGCGCTCTCAGTGGAAACGAAACTTCACATTTCTCAACCCTGGCCCCCGTACTACACAGGTACACAGGCATACAGCCTATTACAGGTACTGTAATTTCCAGAGTATAGGCCGCACTGGATTAAAAGGCGCACCCCCCCCCCCCCCCCCCATTTTGCCACGAAATACAGACGTCTACCCTATTTATCAACGTTCCTTTGATCTATACAAAAGAGAAAGACCAAGGAACTACAAGTTACGCTATACTGTCCACTAACTGTATAACACTAACTAAACCTTGGCTCTCCATCTGAGTCCGTTCCTTTGATCATCGGAGTATAAGCCGCAGCCCCCCCCCCCCCCCCCCTTGGGGGTGAATTTTGAGTGTTCGAAGTGCGGCATATACTCCTGCAAATACGGTGTATAAAATCAACAGGGAGCGAAGGACACCAGAGAGGAGGTGGATCGACACTACGTTATGTGTACTGATACGGAAATCACAGTGTAAAATGTGATATGCATGTACACACCTTTAGCATGGAGCTGTAATTGACTGGGCCGGTTCTCCAATAAATCAGCTGATCTCTTCCCCGCCTGTGCGTGTGTTGAACATTAAAATCACGACGCAAAGGAAAACACCAAATTTTATGCACGTACATTTCAAACAACAAACAACAACAAACAACAAACAACAAACAGTGATATTGGTTAAACAGTACTGTGACCCGTATACTCTCAGCACTCAAGACTCTCAGCACTCAAGACTCTCAGCACTCAAGACTCTCAGCACTCAAGACTCTCAGCACTCAAGACTCTCGGCACTCAAGACTCTCGGCACTCAAGACTCTCGGCACTCAAGACTCTCGGCACTCAAGACTCTCGGCACTCAAGACTCTCGGCACTCAAGACTCTCGGCACTCAAGACTCTCGGCACTCAAGACTCTCGGCACTCAAGACGCTCGGCACTCAAGACTCTCGGCACTCAAGACTCTCGGCACTCAAGACTCTCGGCACTCAAGACTCTCGGCACTCAAGACTCTCGGCACTCAAGACTCTCGGCACTCAAGACTCTCGGCACTCAAGACTCTCGGCACTCAAGACTCTCGGCACTCAAGACTCTCGGCACTCAAGACTCTCGGCACTCAAGACTCTCGGCACTCAAGACTCTCGGCACTCAAGACTCTCGGCACTCAAGACTCTCGGCACTCAAGACTCTCGGCACTCAAGACTCTCGGCACTCAAGACTCTCGGCACTCAAGACTCTCGGCACTCAAGACTCTCGGCACTCAAGACTCTCGGCACTCAAGACTCTCGGCACTCAAGACTCTCGGCACTCAAGACTCTGGGCACTCAAGACTCTCGGCACTCAAGACTCTCGGCACTCAAGACTCTCGGCACTCAAGACTCTCGGCACTCAAGACTCTCGGCACTCAAGACTCTCGGCACTCAAGACTCTCGGCACTCAAGACTCTCGGCACTCAAGACTCTCGGCACTCAAGACTCTCGGCACTCAAGACTCTCGGCACTCAAGACTCTCGGCACTCAAGACTCTCGGCACTCAAGACTCTCGGCACTCAAGACTCTCGGCACTCAAGACTCTCAGCACTCAAGACTCTCAAAGCACATACTGTACTTGTAGTTAATACGTAAGTTATCAGTGTTCATTGTCTCACAATCACATGGAGAAGAAGAAGAAGAAGAAGAAGAAGAAGAAGAAGAAGAAGAAGAAGAAGAAGAAGAAGAAGAAGAAGAGCAAGGCAGTGCGAGCATGCGCACAGCTATCCAGGCATTCCGGCTACGGTGCACTATAATATGTGTATGCAAATTACGTGTTATGAAGTAGCCATACTACAGTACTAAACACTGAAAAAAGCAGAGAGGTGTCTCGGTTAGTGCTGCGTAGCTGTGGCTGCGTTTTCCCCGTCGATTCGCACACCTAGAGTACCTCATATGCACCCTAAGTTGCTTGGCTAAAATCATGGGAGTGTGCGGGGTTCTCTTTTGTTGTCCCCTGCTGTTGTACAGTATACCGGTAGTGATGTACTTCTTCCTCGGCGGCATGCAAAACTGTGTGAGCTGGTTTTTCAGAAGCTGCTTAGTGCAAACTGCATGCGACCGTTTTGGAGCGGCCGCATAAAATAAGACGGGTGTGACACTGAAAAAGCATCGCAAAGTTTTTCGTTGATGGAGGAAGTAGCTGAAAGCAGTGACTGTCTGAATACAGTGAGTATATCACACCAGTGCTAAGCGAATATCCAATTACAACAGCAGCACAGATATAAAATTATATTTAAAAAAAAGGATTTTTGTCGAATAACTCCTCTGTGACAGCACACTCACCACTACAGATCTGGTCTCCTCCGCTGCGGTTTCGCGCATACAACGACCTCCTTGCGGCTGACATAGCGGCGCTGGCAGCGGACTCAAATCACTGAAGATAGAATTGGACAGCTCCAGGAATTCTTTCTCGATGCGACAGATCTGCTGTTGCTTAAATCTCTCACATTGCTTGCGAAGCTGAAATGTGACAAGACACAACGCAACGCATAGACACAAGCCATTTTTGGCAACTTTGAAGCAGACTGAACATTAGGAGCAAAGAAGCAATTTCACCGGGGTTACCGCACATAGAGAAACATGGAAATGCAGTGTGAATGGTATCCTAACCACTCATACAACAAGTTAGTTAGGAGCTCAATACACATAGAACAGTGTTCAATCACTCTGAACAGAGCCTTCACACATATAGACCAGTGCTTAAATACACTTGTAGAAGAGGGCCTTCATACAATGAATAGAAGACAAAAACAACACAGAGCACCATAGCGTGGGGTTGCATTTTTTGCTGATAAGTTCTAGATAGGGGATAGGGTCACCTCTGCTGATCATACAAATGTTGAGTCACAAAATGAGTCACCATCCCAGACACAAAGGAACAACTTGGGACAGGTAATATTAGTGGGAAGGCATTTATTATAGACGGAGAGACGGAGAGAAAGACGAACTAAATGACTACATTATGAGAGAGAGAGAGAGAGAGAGAGAGAGTGAGAGAGAGACTGCAAAATGAAGGGCCTGGGTAGCTATGGCAAATGTGGGTGCGCAAGTAGCTACCCGGGCCAAAGAACAAAAGGTGAGTACATGGGGGAAAGTACGGGGTGCATGCAGGCCAGTTTGGAAAAGGTTGTAGGAGGCAGTATACGGGAGAAGGTACCTAACATACCTCCCCTCGTAAAAAGAAAAAGAACCGCAGCCTTGCGGACAATAATAAGATGATGAAAAATTAAAGATAAAATTAATGACAAAGGAAGAAGAGAGAAAACACACACACACACACACACACACACACACACACACACACACACACACACACAACACCCGGATCTCACAAAAGTGTCATACTATAAACATGCACACCAATTATCACGAGCAATGCTCTAACCACTGAGCTATGGGACCAGGCTGAACCCAGAAGGCGCTGACAAGTTTTTCACTCCAAAGGCAGCTCACCACACGTGCCACACATACTGATGGCACTTGGGTCATTTTCCCTCCTCCAGGGGACCAACCACGGTCGGTTTCTGGACCCTACCAGAAGTGAAAGAAAGCCGTGATTAATTTTTGAAAGGATTGGGAGAACTTCAAATTCAAAGGATTAGTCAGGGAAGTGAACTGCCTGAAAAGAGAAAAACTCGCCAGACCCACCAGGACTCGAACCCGGGACTTTGCTTGTAAATTAATCTCTTTCTTTCACTTCTGGTAGACTAGGGTCCAGAAACTGACCGTGGTTGGTCCCCTGGGGGAGGGGAAATGACCCAAGTGCCATCAGTATGTGTGGCACGTGTTGTGAGCTGCCTTTGGAGTGAAAAAACTTGTCAGCGCCTTCTAGGTTCAGCCTGGTCCCATAGCTCAGTGGTTAGAGCATTGCTCATGACAAGCAAGGTCCCGGGTTCGAGTCCTGGTGGGTCTGGCAATTTTTTCTCTTTACAGGCAGTTCACTTCCCCGGTTAATGCTTTGAATTTGAAGTTCTCCCAATCCTTTCAAAATTAATCACGGCGTTCTTTCACTTCTGGTAGGGTCCAGAAACTGACCGTGGTTGGTCCCCTGGGGGAGGGAAAATGACCCAAGTGCAATCAGTACGTGTGGCACGTGTTGTGAGCTGCCTTTGGAGTGAAAAACTTTTCAGCATCTTCTAGGTTCAGCCTGGTCCCATAGTCCAGTGGCTAGAGCATTGCTCATGACAAGCAAGGTCCCGGGTTCGAGTCCTGGTGGGTCTGGCGATTTTTTTCTCTTTTCAGGCACTGTTCACTTCCCCGACTAATCCTTTGGATTTGAAGTTCTCCCAATCCTTTCAAAAACCAATTATTATGTTCCTGTATTTCTAAAAATAGCAGGCAAACGTATCACCCAAGCTAGCGTAAGCATTGCCAACAACGGCGGGCCAAACACCCCTTCAAAAAGAAAAATTGGCCCCAGAACTAGAATTGACGAGGAACATTGCATATTGCGTGGTACGGCTACAACAGCATAGTTGCACTTCTACAAATAAATAATAATCGCGGGATCCGTGTCGGCATCGTTTGAATGTTCAGAAACACACAAACTAGCCTTCGCATCCGCAGGCCACCACTATGCCTGTTCACCTTAGTGGTAAATGCAGACCTCACAAGTGAGTCAGGGGAGAGGAGGTTAGTCTCTCAACCAATCGGCGTGTAACGGCCCATAACCCTGTAAACTGCATCCTTGTTATTCTCATTCCGAGCTGTGAGTACCCAGTTTATTTAGTTGACCGTGGGTGTCGGCGCAGTTCAACACCCGTAAAAAGTCTTTTTACATGCTCCTTGCTGCCAGCGCGGGTCTTGAACTCGGGACCTCGTGATTCGCAGGCAGGCCTGCAAACCAATCGGCTATATGCGTTGGTACTTCTGCCAACATGAATAGTAGAGCGTGGCTCACCATGATCGGACCCCTAAAATTAAATGATTGGACACACGCGCGCAGACACACACTACAATAAAATAATCATAAATAAATGATTTAAAATCTTGTAGGACGCATCACGCAGCTTCATATGTAAAAAATTGGTTGTGAGCAACACTGGCTCACACTCAAATCACTGCTTTTCACCAGAAATGGCAATAAATAAGATAAATTGTGCACTCATAACAACAGCAAAAATGAAGAAAGTCAAGTTCCATAACGTTTTCTTGTGACTGTCACCAGTGGAACGCCGTCACATAAAAATGTAATAACTAAAACACACACTTATATACATGTAGCTAATATGGTTTCAGGTAGAAATACAGCAGCTAACAAGTACAAAAAGCGAAGTTTGCACCTTTGCAATGTGTGAATATAGTGTATGTGAGAAAGGTAGTGGCAGATGAATGTGATACTGTGTGAATGAATGTAATGGTGCGTGTGTATTACTTGAAGAGTGTGAGTGATACAACGTTTTCTTTCTGTTTACATAGCACAGGGTCACGAGTACGAATATACACAGCTTCCAACACCTGCAATTGCTTGAAGAAACGTGCGCAACGAATAACACTAAACCAGGAATCGTCAAACACCTTACGACATTCTGGACTGGACACCAAATGCTTGTACACTGCAGACTTCCTCTTGTCAACATCAAACTCCTCCTCATCACTACTCTCATCCTCCACCTCCATTCCAATGCCGCCGTCCATCCCATCGCACTCGTATTCGTCGTCATCAGTCTCCATCTCCTCGCGACACCGCTTCCCTCTCCTTGATTCGTTCTGTGCCGTGCCTGTGCTTCCTCCTGCGTCTCCTTGCCTTGTGTTCTCCACTTGTCTCAGTCGTGCCTCTGCTAGTCTCTTGCTTCTCCTCGGTTCTGCTCTGTTTTCAAGTTGTTCCCCTTCCGCTCTTACCGTTGTAGCAACATGGTTTGTCGAGGAGCGGCCGTCCGGCGGCCTCCCTTGCCGTGGTCCGGTTTCCGAGGGGGGAACCAGATTAGTCTGCTCGTTCTCCATGGAAGTAGTCGGTGTTTCTGTTTCCGAATTGTGAGCCGTGCTAGGTGTAGAAATAGGCAGCGGATGTTTTCGTGGTCTCCCACGCTTCGGCCTGCTTAACCTGGCAGCCTGGGACAACAATGATAATGGGACGTGCTGCTTGATGCGTTCGGACAAGTGTTGAAGCGATGACAGTCACAAGAAAACGTTATGGAACTTGACTTTCTTCATTTTTGCTGTTGTTATGAGTGCACAATTTATCTTATTTATTGCCATTTTACGACTATTGTCTCCTCATCGATTGTTTCACCAGAAAAATATTTTATTTCAACGTTTCGGTCATGAAACCTAGCGCCCCCGTTTGCGATTATCTTCATGCATGACCTCGAAACCTCGATGTTGCAAAACGCGCCTGGTGCTCCCGTACTCTACAAGCGTAATATTGATGACATCATTATGCTGTGGACACTGGGGGCCGCGCTTCTCCGCCAGCTTATTGCATTTTTCAATACCGCCAATGCGAGCATCAAGTTCACGTATCAATCTTCGGAGGAAACTGGGTCGGTTGACTTTATGGACACGACTATTCATGTCTCCTCCGAGGGCGCAATATCATTCGAGCTGTTCTGCAAAGCTTGCCACAGTGGCCTCGTCTCAGACTTCAACTCGTGCGTTCCGCAACAGCAAAAACTCGCCATCGCGTCTTCGGAATTCCTCCGCCTTTCCTCTGATCCTGCAGCCCGCCAGCGAAGTGAGCAAAAGGTTATTGACACATTAAAATTCAACAACTTTCCTGACAAAGTTATCGCGGTAAAGGTATAGTTTAGGGTTGTAGTTCCTGGGTCAGCATGCTCTACAGAGTCCCAGGCATGCACATTACACACACGAGACATGCATAGTACAAACAGGGCATGCGCAATGCACTCGAGGTCAACAAGGTCAATGCACTCGAGCCAGTCGAGGTTAACACGACAGCAGATGGAAACTCACCAAATGTGGTTGCCGGTAAGTGCAAGCACAACTCTTTTAGTTTAGGATATTGGTCTCTTCGCAGATTCTGCTTCCCATTTTCTCCTTCCTTGTCTGCCAATGTTTATTAGCGATGGCTGGGCATTCACCAGCAGTATTACATCTAAGCTGTTGGCTAGTGCCACCCGATGTCTTCATGATGTCATCATGATGTCATCACGATGTCTTCATGATGTCTTCACGATGTCTTCATGATGTCTTCACGATGTCTTCATGATGTCTTCACGATGTCTTCATGATGTCTTCACGATGTCTTCATGATGTCTTCACGATGTCTTCATGATGTCTTCACGATGTCTTCATGATGTCTTCATGCCAATCATGGAAAACGAGTTGTGGTTTAGCTCTGCATGCTCCCAATTATTATGACCTTGTTGACCTCGACTGTCTGGTGCATGCCCTGTTTGTACTATGCATGTCTCGTGTGTGTAATGCCTGGGGCTCTGTAGAGCATGTTGGCCCACTAAAAATAATTTGGGACCCTAAACTATACCTTTACCGTTATCGCGACTGCTCATGAACGAGCCAGACGACCTGCTAAACAAAAGAAAGACTATCGATCCACGTTGAAGTTACCATTCAAAACGGATACCATCCACTACAGGGTCCACCGTCTTCTAAACAAATACAACCTAAATGTGCAGATAATCTACAAGAATGCAAGGCTTTCCAACAGCATCACTAAGTCAAGCCTCACTGGACCTTGCTGCCGTAAGTGGGTGGATCCCGCTGCCCCGAGGCGACGAGGAAGGCCTAAGGCCGCCTGCGTTGCATGCCAATCGAGCGAGGTAGAATGCACAAGACGCAACGTGGTTTATCGTCTGACCTGCAAATGCTCGGAAAAGTATGTTGGAGAGACTGGCCGTAGTGTAGCAACGCGAACAAAAGAACACAATGATAACTCACGCAACAAGACGTCTGGAAAAGCCCTGGGCGAGCACTACCGACTTCACCATGGCAGCGAGGTACTGCCGCTTGGTGAGTCGGCATTCGCAGAGGTTCGCGTCCTTGCCACTGAGTCGGATCGGGCCAGGAGGAGAATACGCAAAGCAATACAAATTCGCGACACGAGCCCCAGCATAAACAATAACGCAGGGTGGGACCTCCTGTGAAGTCTCTGATGAAGTACTACCTTGTACATATTTCTGGCCCTCATACTCGCTTTTCCTGGATAGTGGTGGTTTTGCACCCCATGCACTGTTACTACTACTGTTGTTGCTAGCGCCTGCAATTACATGTATGCACGCACCTAGTGTACATGTACATTCTGTTTGGTGCCTGTACCTGTGCCATATTTAGAGTTGTCGCGTATTGCGCTATTTCTATACCAGGTTTTTCGTGATGTTTTGTCCTTTTTTCTCTCTCTCGTAATAGTGCTTTAGGTGTGATTTGTTATCAGTTCGCAGCGCTCCTCATTTTAACCCATCCTAACCGATGTGCCCACTTCATTCCTCATGATGGTTATTTCATGACCGAAACGTTGAAATACAATATTTTCTGGTGAAAAGCAGTGATTTGAGTGTGAGCCAGTGTTGCTCACAACCAATTTTTTATAAATAAATGAACACATAAAATTTGACGAAGAAAGATTCATGAAAAGAAAGAGAGAACTAAAGAAAACAGCTGACCTGTATGACTTAAATGAGACGAGGTTGGCATAGACGAGACCAGGTTGAATTGGGTGAGACGAGCATTACTGGGACGACACACGGATGACTGGACGAGACGAACGGCGGTTGAGGACGACTGGGACGATCTGACATGACGGACGAGGACGAAGGGTGCTGGGTTGAAGACATGGTCGTGGGCTCGAACGAAAAGTCGGGCGCCAATGTTGAGTCACAAAAGGAGTCAACATTCCAGACACAAAGGAACAACTTGGGACAGGTACTATTAGTGGGAAGGCATATATTATAGACGGAGAGAAAGACGAACTAAATGACTACATTATGAAAGAGAGAGAGAGAGAGAGAGAGAGAGAGAGAGAGATCGAGTGAGAGAGAATGAAAGATAAAGGGCCTGAGTAGCTATGGCAAATATGGACGCGCAAGCAGCTACCCAGGCCAACGGAACAAAAGGTGAGTACATGGGGGTAAGTACGGGGTGCATGCAGGCCAGCTTGGGAAAGGTTGCAGGAGGCAATATACGGGAGGAGGTACGTAACACAAAGAATACTTCATGCGAATATCTTTGGGGCAATTCGAGATGTGGCTGTTAGCCCACAACATAATAGGATATAATGAAGCTGCAAGAAGCGTCCAAACTCATCTTGGAATACCTTTTCCCATATACTTTCCCATACCAAAGCTATGGTATGCAATCGTCGGAGACCACGTATGCAATTGCATGCATAGCGATGGCATGAAAGTAGAGGTTCTCCGACCTCATGAAAATCACAGATACACAGTAAATGGATACGCAGTATGTGTGGGATTTTTGGTGTTATTGGAGAGTGGTGGAGAGACCATCATACTTTCAAGTAGATGTTGGACGGGATGCGTTCTGCTTCGATGAAACAATCAGCTTCTGCTCAAGCACGTCCACCGTCTCGACATAAGGAACAAAAAACGGCCATGAATTTACAAGCCAAAAGTCTGCTCGCTCCGTCATGCCGAGACCCTCCAATAGTGAATTTCAATAGTCAACTTCAGCCACCGGGCGCACACTTTTCTAACGGCTAGAACGGCTACTGGGAAGAACCTTACTGCGAACCTATGCTGGTTCGGTTTGTGTTGGCCATCGATGGACCCCTGTTCTATTTTTGGTTGGATTGTGCCCTTAAAACCAGGCTGCAAGCCTCTCCCTGCACAAGTATAGCAACCGGGTGTGTATTCTCTCAACTGGATCATTACCTGGGTCAGTAACTCGGGTGATCCAGTTCATGTTGAACCTCAAGAATTACTTGAGCACATAGCCAAGAGTATGAAACTTCCATCCTTTTCTTGAACTGCAATGGACTCCTATCCTATCTTGAGCTGAGATGGACTCAAATTCGATCTTGAGCTGCAATGGACTTGCCGGAACAGCATAATTCTTGATCATAAATTATCGTTTTCTGACAGCAGAAGTACCGCTACATGAGTAGGTTTTTTCCGCAGTTGTCTCTAAGATACGGGGGGGGGGGGGGGGTGGCGTTCATCAGGTTCAGGCCACATAGTTCTATTGTCTGCTGGGAGGACCATGGTGGTGATGTGCACGCCGCTCTTTGCACTTTTGATCTCTGGCCAAGCATGATGGACATCAGTGAACCAAACGCCCGCAAAAGACTGATGTCCAAAACATCCTGCCGTGGGCGGAGGGACTGTGAAGTTTCTGGGTTAAATGCACTTAGCACTCAATGGGATGGTTACACATACATATGTGCATGCACATTGTGTTCTATCAGCCCAATTCAGGAGGAGTTTGGTACGTACATCGAGCAATATTCTGCAGTTATCCAGCGCTGTTGACATCTCACCCAGTATCTAGAAAAAGAAAACAAGAGAGATGGAGAGAGGGGAAGGGGGGGGGGGGAGGGAAAAGTAACTGTAGGAATACCTCCCCCAACCAGCAACCGACTACAGTGTCACGTTTTGATGCATTTTTAGACTCATGAGGTGCTTGGTGATGTTCCGTGTTTACTCGTTCTCTTCGTCAGACAGAACAGACGAGAAAAAACTAAAATTGCCGTAAAGTACTGTTGACCTGCCCCCCCCCCCCCCACAACGCTGTGTTGCTTCCCAGCTGGTTTTCGGCAGGCAGGGGACGGGAGTTAGATCAAGGCTGTCAAGTGCAGTACAATGTATAAGGACACAAAAGATCAGACTTGCCGTGCTGGATTGTGCACATATTCATCCACATGCATATCTGCACTGGCAGGCATTGTGTACAGCAGTGCAAGCGTCAGTTCAATATCGTATTTCGACGTGTACGCTGAAGTCGCTTCATAGATAGAAGTTCAACAGGGGGCGGGAAATAGAAAGGGGAGGAAAGACAGTACTTTGCGGTAGCACCCAATTCCAGGTAGTGTCATATTTCGTGCCGGGTAAACCGTACGTCAAACAAGAAGTGCAGTTCTCACTAGCAGACTGCTATGAGATAACATCAGTCTGTCTTCAAATCTAGCTTGATGGCAATCCATTACGGCAGACAATGCTCTTACAGCTTGGGTTGTGACATCCATCTCTTCCTCGACCTGCGGAGCATGTATGCCAGTATCCTGGAGGCAAAACACATCAGTGCACGGCTGTATTGGTTGGCCTAGCAATCAACGAGTGTCCGATTTCTGATATACCGTACTGTTGAGTACAAACTGAAAAAGTGAGTGCACAGCCCAAAGCCGGCTAAGCCAGCCTACAACCTCCCCCAAGCCAGCCTACAACCTCCCCCAAGCCAGCCCTTAGCCTCCCCCAAGCCAGCCTACAACCTCCCCCAAGCCAGCCTACAACCTCCCCCAAGCCAGCCCTTAGCCTCCCCAGCACACAAACCACCTGGTAATCCTTCAATCAGGGACCGGAACCACATAAACATACTAGCATTGTGAAAGAAAAGGGGGGTTTGTCAACCGACAACCGCTCTATTCAGTTGCTATGTGCACCCATCGGCAGAGCCTGACGATGGGTGACCGGCCCGAAACATCATTATTTTACTAGAACATCAATAAAAGAATATTCAAATCAGCGCAGATTGTGAACAGCAACTGAATATAGCGGTTGTCAGTTGGCATCCCACCTTTACTTTCTACAATGCAGTTGTGTGCTGTCCATAAATTTCTTTGTATTGTGAAGTCGGAGCAATGTGTTTGTCAGACCGAAAACGTTGTGACTAAAACGCAGCACCCTAAACACAGCTGTGGGTCACCGACATACCAGGTCACTTTTTTCACACACTGTCCATGGACTTCCGTCATCATGTATGATCATATATCCACCCATTTTAAGTCCTGCTGTTTGGATTTTATGTCGAGTCTCGACCTTGCAACGTTCACTGAAAAACTCACCATCAATTTTCGACAGCATCTTCATCGCTATCCCCATCAAAAGCGATAGCTTTGTTTCTTTTTCAGACATAATAAACAGGGAAACTAAACACATACGCACACTCGTCATTTTTTTTTTTTCTCTACAAAATCCACATATCTTCATGAATGGTGCTCCTGGGTAAAGATGACACCACAGCATTTACTTACATCGTACTTGCCCAGCTCGAGACGAAGGAGGCTTTCCACTTTATCGTGCATGACTTCAGGGTGATCCTGTCCGGGAATGCGATCGTGACTGTCGGCTAACAGTTTCAATAGCGGAAACAGCTCGTGGCTTCGAGGCAGAAATCAAGAAAAGAAAAGACAAGGATGAGTGTGATGGTCGCTATACTGACAGCAGACCTCGCAGGACTATGATCACAGCCATTAGCAGTACTTCGAAGTAGTTTTAAGTTTCAACTATCGATAAACTGCATTGAGATGATCGGTGATCCACTCCATACAGCTTTCACCAGACGGACGGCTTCGTTGGCGGTAAGTTGGCGCGTGGTGTGTGTGTGTGTGTGTGTGTGTGTGTGTGTGTGTGTGTGTGTGTGTGTGAACTTCAGATCACATTTTAGCGCCCATTGTTCGGTACGAGTACGCACACTGTCCATTTTAAAGCTGCACAGTTGAACAACACCATGCATGATGTCACACTATACCACAACGTAGTGTTCCATTATCGTATTTTGGGCAAAAACAGAAAGCGAATGGCGCCCCAACAACAAGAACTATGGCGTATGTAGCACGTTTATTCTTGAACGTGTTTATAACGTTCTAATCAGAGGAAAGCAGGCAAAAGAAAAACAGAGATTGACATACCAAACACTTTCCGGACGTCCGCGACAACCAAGCGCACTGTTAAAAAGCTAAAGCTATTCGTTTAGGGAAGCAGAGACACTACTAGTAAGCCTGGGGAAGATATACCGTACATGTAACACCTACCTTGTTCTAGCATTAGTGGACCTACCAGGCTGCTACTAGTATCATAAATGAACGTGGAAACTTGGCATGCTAGCTTTTAAACCAGACTATCTTACCTGTAGGGAATCGTATTCCAAGGCCCAATTCATGTTGGTTAGCCGTGGCACCAGCCACTCTGCCGTTGCTGGGCTTATCAGTAACCTCCCCAGATTGGCAAGTGCGCTCCTTCTAGAGTAGAGCTTTAGAGTTCAGGAAAGAATCTGCCCTTCCATGGCTGTGGTGCTTCCCATGTCACGTACAGCTCCCGGACCCCCCCCCCCCGACTCTCTATCACTCCAAAGTCACGTTATATATCTCCATCTCTCTACCATGTCCCAAGTCACGCATATCTCCCCAAGCTCTCTATAACCACGGTCCTCATACTTGTTCTAGGTCACGAAGTCATGTCTGATGTGAATCCCCTGTCCTGTGCACCATACCTTACTGGTAGGAACACAAATCATTTGTCACGGGATGCCAGTAATTATTACCCAGAACAAAAAGTAATTATAATATTACCCAGCAATCGAGGACATTTTTTTCTTTTTTTCTACAAAATCCACATATCTCCAGACACTGGGGTGAATAATGGAGTGTGGTGGTGGGGCCCATTAGCTCCGCCGACCAGAGGTCTCGGCTTCATAGCTCCATGGACGCAACATCTGGGAGTTGTAGTTTTTGTACTCCTCCGAGATGTGATTTTTGGCCTGGGCCAAGCACAAAGAGAAGCCTTCTGCCAAAAAAGAAAGTGAAGGAAATGGTTGTTGTTGAATCCTTTTGATGTAATCTTTGTAGCTTGTTAAAGGTAGTTGCTGTTTGGAGCAGAAACACTGAAATTGACTATTTACTGCAGGACTGTACTGATGTACTGAGGCATGCATGTTTACTTGCATTTTAGCTGTTTGGCCGGAATGGATGCTTCTCTGCTGTGCTTGGTGAACATTACCTGCGCTCGTGGAGCAGCTGAAAAGGACCACTAGTATGTCTTGTTCCCGGTTTGAAAGTGGAGAGACGACTTTCGTTCCTTGAAAAAGGAGTAGAGAGCGACAAAGGTATGTCTGGAGCTGATTTTTGAGTGCTCCTCGTACATTTTGATGGTAATAGAAAATTCTCAGACCAAAGTCAGCGGTGGGCGTACAGTTTTCTTGCGGATTTTTTAGTTGTTTCGTCTCGTACCTATGTCAGTATCGTGATGGTGACTCGAATGGACAGAATGATTCTCTTCCTCTAGGCTTCGTTCGGCCGAATTTGCTTCGCCCTCGTTGAAAAGTGATGTCGATTCGCAAAATTATGTTGAATTTCGATGTACGTGATGGCATGCGATTGGTGGCTATGATAATTGCTTGCCGCTATCTAGTATCTATCATGACAGCACAAAATGAATGGAGGTAGGGGTGCAGCGATTTTTAACCTCTACTTATAGTGCATAGTTGTCATAATGTCTTCATTTATAATTATGTGTATGGTTTTGAAGAGGAGGAGGGGGGGGGGGGGTGGGGGTGTCAGCAAGTCTTTGTTTCATATGGTTGCAATAAAATGAAATGGTGACAATCATCTCGGAGGAGTACCACCAGCACGTACCAACTCCAACTACTACTGGCAACTAGTGTAAACGGTTTGAAAACGATTCGAGGCCAGCCCGTTTTTGTTCCGTTTCGTTTCGTTTCATTTCGTCTCCGTGTAAACGCAGCCTAAAATACCTTCCGACGCCCCTGAAACGGATCTTGAATTTGAAACCTTACTTTTTTTTCAAATTTACTAGAGCACCTAAACATGTTTAGTACTCTTGACATTTACTTGGGTACAATGAAGATGGCCTCCGAGGTAGTCCTCACCTGCATTTGCCGTGCGAGATCACCATAATGATCCGGGACACACCGACACAATTACTTCCTAACTGCGCTCAGTCTCAGGTATGCAGCTGCAGCGAACTAATCCTTCAGAACCACAGGGCGCTAGCTGCCTCCTGCTGGAGCGCAAGTGTGTTGACGGAATACCTCCAATCCACTCGAGCAACAATGCGAAGTAAGATTGCTTGGTGTCGTCGCTCCGCTACACGTCAAGCAACAAACAGCGTGCCGCAACTCAGAGACTTCTCCTGATTTTTCCGAACCACTATGATAAGGACTATACTAAGGAGTAGGTACAGTAGGTATCGGTTATAGCGTGGGTGTTTGAAAAACGACTTTCTATTCTTATTTCCGATATTTCTTACACACGATAAATCAAGTGTGACATATCATGTGCATGTGCGCAGAGGCAGGAAGATCATCGTACATACAAGGTAGTGCTACTGTGCATGCGGCTGGTCACAGTCACATAGGCTTACTATGTGGCTATGCAACATGAGTTACATGACCACAATAGTTGAACCTGCAGCATTAGGACCCAACGCGAGTCAGATCAGAACTGCTTTGGACGGATGTTATTACTACAGGCGATATACTTTGTACTGATCTGGCATGTTTCGCTACACAAAGTCCATTCTTAGGAGCGATATATTCTACTGTACCATAAAATTGCTTGTAAGAATAAATGTGCACATGAAATCCATGTTATGATTATGAAAACATGAGAGTTCATTCTTGTAGGCAGTATATTCTTTTACACGACCACGCTATAACCGATACGCACTGTACTAGGTACATGTACAAGAGAAACGTTACGTGCATGCATGCATCATGCGTTACCATGTACTTAGTATAGTGTACTCCTAACTGAATCTTTGGTAGTACAAGCTGTTCTCTACCGGGGAGTCGTATTATAAACCTACACTGGCTACAGGCTACACTTGCCTATCATGTCCTCATAATTATACCAGAGCTAAACAAGGATTGGCCACTTCAGATAAGACTACAACCTGGCACGTACTGGTACGGTCCTCTTAGTACTGGCGCGACCTTCCTGCCACAATCATGAACACTACAAGTGTTTACTGCCTACTTTTCTGCTGCTGGCCAGTGCTGGAGCCTGGATATGGGTCAATGTCACTAGATCCTCTTGTTCTGCCACACATAATCTCGTCCGTGTGAAAGTGGTATTACAACACCACGGCACACAACTTCACAAGGGAGACACCAAGGCGAAGTGGTAGCCCGCCCACGCGAATGTCTTTGCTTGATGTGTTCCTCAGCACGTCAGGAGACTGAAGCAGCCGCGAATCCAGCAAACTTTACTTTATTTTTTACACACCTGACTGATGGCAGTGATGCGCGGCATCGATCAAGCGGAGATCAGGAAGAAAAGAATTTTTTTAGTATCGACATTGTGGCTCACTCCGACTTCCTGGAGACTGGAGACTGGATCCATGATCTGAAGTATTGAAGAAGGCCTGCAATCATGTACATGTACATACATTATTATTGTTCAAGGTTTATCTAATACCACTGTAGGTTTGAACTAGTATTGGTTTACTAGTACAGTCATGTATAATAATAATAATACCAATCGTGTACAGTGAAACCTGTCTAAGGCGACCCCTCAAGGGACGAGAAAAAGTGGTCGCCGTGGCCAGGTGGTCTTCTTAGCCAGGTTCAGTGGGTCACGTGACCATATCCACATGTGATACATTATTTTGATCAGCGTATCACAGTGCACACACCAGTATTGGGTCCACAGGATATTGCTCCGAAAATGTTCGTATAATGCTAATCATAATGCTGATTATAATGCTCCAACAAGGGCTATAATGCTCTTGGTTTGGAACAAAAATGGAAGAAAGGCTGCACATTGTCAAACTTCCAGGAAAGGATGCATATAGTCAATCTGCCTCTGAAGCTGCTGCAATATTTCTCACGAGCTCCACCACTTCTTACTAATCTTAGCACAATAATACATGATCGCTTCTCCATTGGCTGCTCTCCATTGCGACTTTGATGCAGGGCTGTGGCTGAACAGTGGGTGTATCAAATCTTTTTCCCTTGCTTATCCATGAAGTGGGATGTGAGGCCATTATTGCTGGTGATCAATTGGATGCTGGAAGCTTATCATGGAAAGTGATATTCCTGCCTGCAGATAAGCTGTCACTGCTTCCACTCTGCGAAAAATGTCTTCATCTGAAGCAGCTTACGTGAGGCAAGTTCCTGAGAGACGATCTCAGATCGAGATCCCTCCCATTTGCGGAAATCCTGAACACACGTGGTCAGAAGTTATTTGGCCGCTCTACACCCTCAGCTTGCACTGTCTTCTTCTCCTGAGGTTGCGTGGAGACAAATGGTTGGCCACAATACTCTTCTTTTCTGATAGCACTTGACTATAGGCCTTGTATTACAATCGTCCACGACGAACTGTACGTGCTTCACCAGGAAAGTAAAGCATGCGCTGCTGAGCACTCAAATCGACTTGGTGCTGCGGCTATGAGAAATTCTAGTTCTTTTCGAGCCTGCTGAGCTGGACTCGGCAAAGGCAGTTATTAATTTTGGAGTAAGCTCTATCCGTTTATAGACGCTCCTTCATGCAGGTCCAAGTCAATGGATTAGTGTTGACTTCAGTATCGCTGGCATAACACTTTTTATGAACAGGAAACTCCTCTTCCTCTGTTTGATATTCACTTCGCGTAGATCCACGTAGTCTCCTCCATCATCCATGGCTCTCCATGATTTCTAAACAATTCCTCCTAAATCATCGTTACGGATTTTGTGCACTTTGAAGTATAAACAGCCTCAGTTGCAACGTTGGGCATGCTACATCACATGTACATTTACCTGACATTGCTACATAAAGACTTTATGTAGCAATGACATTACTGTATGTAGTCAGGTAAATGTAGCGCTAAACTTAAAGTAAAGGTGTTACGTGTGACGGTGTCTACACTCACAAAGTCATGTGCTGGTACAATATTATGGCGTTGCACCTCATGCAGTCATGGCTTTAGCCGATTGTTGCCAAAAACCATGAGAGACTTATCCACTATAAAACTCGTTATGCCGCTCAAACCTCACATAATGCTCGTCTTGTTCCTTCCTAATGGCAGTAATGCTCCATAATGCTCTAATGCTCGGATAGTCTTATAATGCCGAATATAATGCCGGCATTATCCGCTGGACCCTACACTAGACTCCGGCGGATTATGCTCGCGAAATCATGGAATTATGCTTTCATGGATTCTCGCATTATGCTCGTAAAATCCTCATACTGTATTATGCTTTGGCACCCCGGGATATATATTCACTTTGTTGTACTTATGGAGCCTCAAAGTTCGGAAAATTGTGCCTTTTTCGTACTTGCAAGTTGCAAGTGACCATAAGTACAACAAAACACATGAGTATCCCCATACCAAGCTGCAAGGTGTCCATGCATGTTAGAGATCAACATGGAAAAGAGAAAACATTACTTCTTCTATTCATCACTTGTTTTCTTTTGTACTTCAGTAAAAATATTATTTCATTGCCAAATTAGTTTGAGTTACCTTTGAAGATTATCATGTTCAACTCACGGTTTTCATAATCATCATACTCGTCCAACCGATGTCACCCTCACCCTGCGAATAATCAGCTCATCTCTCCCGTAGCTCCACTTCTCCTTCCATCATGACCGAACATCAACTATACATCAATTTCGAGCAATATCCATACTGGACCATAGCCTGCAGTCATATCATGGCTGCTAAAATCCAGACTACCAGAGGTCATGACTTCGTGAAGTACAAAATAAATCAAGTGATGAATAGAAGACTACACCTTATTCCACAACACGCACGATCCACTCGACCACGGAGGGGACGTCCAGCAAAGAATCATCCTGGTACAAGATGGTCCAACGCAGCGGCATCAACACCAAGGAACGTCACCTCACAATTAACTAGACCACCAGAAAAACAACCGGACAAGACACCTACGTGCGTGGCAGTGACAGGAACCACATCAACCAGAAGAATAACAAGATCGGCAACGGCGGCGATGGCAGCGACTAAAGCACAGACAGAGGCAACGGCTAGGGTCCACTCGACTAGCCATGTGAAATCGGATGTGTCCACCGCACATGCTGATTGTTCTGATGTTAGTTCTGATAAGTATGAGTCGTCCATTGCTAGTCATTTGTTTGAGCATCCTGATTGTCGTGCTGTGTATTCGGATGATTGTTTTTCGATTGTGTCACGTGTACGCAGTGCTAGATTGCTGAATGTTTTGGAAGCTGTATACATCCACACAAGGAAACCCAACCTTTGCAAACAGAAACAAATCAAATTCACACTTAGGCTGTTAGGTAGGTCGTCAAAACCTCGTTAGTTACATGTATGTCCAGTGGTTGTCTCTTGTTGTCGCACTACATGTCGCGCTTATTGAGTTTTCTCGCATTTGCACCTTTGTGTCATTATTGCAATTTTCGCTGTTTACTTTAGCTATCTTCTTTCTTTCTTTCTTTCTTTTTGCGCTGTTTTACCACCTTCTTACTGTATTTAATCCACTGTTCCTGTTCCTTTTCTCTTGCCTGTATTTCACCTGATGAGAAGGCTTGAAAGTATACTTGTGAAGACAAAAACTTTCAAGATGTTTGTAATGAGCCTGAAGTGTGTCCTTTTTATGAGTATTATCGCATTTTTGTCTCAGAGGAAAATGAATAGAAGAAGTAATGTTTTCTCTTTTCCATGTTGATCTCTAACATGCATGGACACCTTGCAGCTTGGTATGGGGATACTCATGTGTTTTGTTGTACTCATGGTCACTTGCAACTTGCAAGTACGAAAAAGGCACAATTTTCCGAACTTTGAGGCTCCATAAGTACAACAAAGTGAATATATATCCCGGGGTGCCAAAGCATAATATGAGGATTTTACGAGCATAATGCGAGAATCCATGAAAGCATAATTCCATGATTTCGCGAGCATAATCCGCTGGAGCCTACTCACCCTCTCCTCAATTCAATTGGCTGTCTTGACACAACGAAAAACCGGAAAAGCCCTGCAACTGCAGAGACAAGCCGTCCTGTCCACTCAAGGAAGCATGGCCCATGCGCATTCGTAGCAGCCTCCAGGGTTCCTACCCAGACTGCATTAATCCCTTGTGGAACAGCCTACCAGCGACCATTCCACCAGCACGGCCGCAACCCAGACAGCTCCAATCATTCAAGGAAAAATGCAACAAGTATCTGCTGCACCTGAACTGGCAAGCAGCCATGGACGCCCTATGAAACGGTT